ATCGAGAAAGAATAACTAGTTTTAATTAAGAAAGGACTTGTATCGCTGAAGTTCCTCGGAAAGAATTTATACCGGAAATTAACAAACAAGCAGATAGTAACAATATTAACATGCTGTTTTGTTACCAATTACATTAGGCCGTCTACAAGAATTAGTAAATATGAAGGGGTTTATTAAGGTCATTCTTTAGGGCTAATTAATTTTGGCTTTAAATAATGGTTGAGACGTACAGCTCTGCCACTCTGCGAAGCTGTGTTATTGTTCAAAGATGAGAGTTCATTTATAACAGATAAACTTTCTTTAATTAAATTTTGTTTAATAGATAAAGTCTTAGTTCATTTTCATTTGATAAATCAAATACAAATTTTAAATATCTGTCTCTCCTTAACATTAAACATGCTAAGAAACACAAACTTCTTTTTGGAATGTATTTTCTTAATCTTGACTTACAAATGCAACATCTGTATCACATTTATTATGCTTCTTATTCACCTATTTAACACATTTCTAAAGTGGAAAGGGCTAGGGCTGGGCGTGAATCAGTGATTAATGTATCAGTCTACATTTGTTCGATCTACTGAAGTCACTCTGCAATTACAGCTGTCGGGGTATTTTAAGCACAAGTTAATCCCGTAAATCGATTTTAAGAATTGCCATGTAGGTGGCGGCTTTCTTGACTGACTGCACTCTCTCTGTCGAGAAATTTTAGAAGACTAAATTGGAACCTAGGAGTTTAGCCTATGTGTTATAAGTGCCATTCAAGTTGAGAATGCCGAATTTTGTTACTAAAAGACTATTTAGTACAAACATAATAAAGAAGGCCATAATTTAATAGTAATATATGCATCTTATCTTAAAAGCAACTCACATATTTATAACATACTAAAACTGAGTAACTGTTGTGAAACTGTTTTAGTTGAATTATTAATTTATCTGAACAAATAAGTTTTGATGCTAAAATGGTAAAAAATAATATTTTAATACAACAATATGCAAGATTGCTTTTTAAACGTTAGCTGAATATTCACTCTCAAATAAGATACAAAACAATACAGTCATAAAACATTAGTCCTTTTATTCTAATTGAATATTTTCATAAAATCTCATTTAATTTTTTTATATCAAATCCACTTTTTACGTTAATATTAGTATACACGGAAAAATTCTCAACTTATTTAAATAATAGGCCTAACAATCCCTAGTGGTGAGGGCACTCAACTCGCAATCTGCGGGTCTTGGGTTCGAATCCTGTCATTGAACCAAGATAATGCTGAACCTATCTTACATATGAACCAAAACGATGTTTAACCTGTCTTATATACGAACTAAAACAATGCTGAACCTGTCTTATAATACAAGCCAAAACAATGCCAAGCCTGTCTTATAATATGAACCAAAACAATGACGAACCTGTCTTATATACGATTCAAAACAATACTGAACCTGTCTTATAATATGAACCGAAACAATGCTGAAATGTTTCTTACATTAATAGCTACAATAAAATACTTAGAAAGTTTCAAGGTAAAGCAGAACAAACACTTCATTCTGTTTAATTATTTAGATTATACAAAAGTATAAACAAGAAACTTGTGACTTTAATGTAGTAAACTTGAGATGATAAAGAACAGTTAATGCTCTTTTTTTCACACTCACTATTTCTTTTAACGTACGTATGAATATTATAATTGTGGATTTGTGTTTAACATACTCTTCAAGATTTGCTGACAGTCATTAATGCTAAACACGCATATATTTTTTCCTATAAGTTAGGTCAACTTGTGTTTTATTGGCTTCATATTTTCAAGAAAAATAGGTATCTGTGAAAAATTTAACTAACTTAAAAAGTCATTATTTGTTATACTATTTAAAACACACATTGGTATTCACAAAGGTAAATAATTAATTTTTTTGGCATGTAGTAATTAACAATATTTTTAATGAAGATATATTAGCTTAACTAATATATAACAGTAATACTATTCTGTTTTTCTACCACTCGTATTTTTGTGGAGAAATAGTATAAAGGAAAACTACTACTTAGCAGTGAGTTCAGTTTAATATATATATATATATATATATTATTTTCATATTTCCAAATAGTTTTACTTTCGGTCGCTAGATGGAAGCACAAAAATGTTCGTACATAACGTAATTATAGGATATTTAATTGTCCAAATATTATATCTGACAAAAGAATTTCGCCAAAAATAAATAAATAAATAAAGAATAG